TGATAGGTAATATTGCCCCTTCTGTACTCTCGCCCAAGCACGCTTGCACCAATGTTGGCTTTCTGTAATAGCCTTTATTTAAATAAAGGCATATTGGTCTTTAGCAGGAAAAAAAAGTGATTTTATGTTTTATTACTTTCATGATTTATACATGGTTTATAAAGTGAATGATTTATCGAAATGTTTTGAAGTTGCATACGGGACAAGTGTTTTACTTGATATGATACTGAAATAGTTATTTGAGATGAACTCCTTTTATTAAGATATATTTATTGACACTTGAGATATGATTACCGTTATCGAAAGAGTCTAACATTTACTTGAGAAATAGTATTTTGACATATGTTTTGATAAAAGTTTTATATACTATGATTTGATAAGAACTTGAATATCTTATACCGTTTTGAAATGTTTCTACTGATTACAAGGAAAAGTATAAATGGGAGTAGACCTTGATGAATCCCGTAGCTAACGGCAGGTTCGTTAGACTTGGTGCACCTTGTAGTTACATATTACCGATAAAGCCCTGGCTAGTGGAAAGGTAGAACTAGCATACCGTTACCGATATCCCTCGAGTAGGGATCTACCGATATGAATATTTAACTTCTTTATGAGGAGTTCACCGTTATTGGTTACTTCTTAAAGACAAGGCCACACTAATTACATGACTCATCCTTGAAAACCTCCCAGATATAAGATTGATATGAAAGTGTTTTTCTGCGTTTATTTATAAAAGTTCACATTGATTTTGCTTACATGAGACAAATAAGATTAAATATTGTTACCGTTTATGAAAAAGGGCATTGATTTCATCATTTGATTATTATACTAGCATGTTTTCTGACTTGTCCCTTGTTAAAATGGTTGTGGTTAAGTATTATTACTCACTGAGCTAGCGTCTCACTCCCCACTAAATTTTTACAGAGAACACAGGTGATGTTGGCAAGGACTTCATTAACTAAAGCTAGCAAGTTGACATTCCATGGTGAGCTCGTACTTGTTCATGCAGGCAGTAAGCTTATCTATTGTTATAGAATTTCCTTTGAACTCTTAGAGTCGCTCTATAGTCACTTTTCTACTTGAGTATTCTTCCGTTCTTGCATAGACGTGTGATTAGTATTAAACTTCTTTCCATTTTATTTTTTGATGAGTTAGTATTATTGTGTGGCGAATAGATGGTTGATGGATATTGTATCTTGTATTGAAGATGTTATTAGTTTTGTTGCTGATTTCTGAGACAGGGAAAAACTGGATTAGGACCAAAAACAAAGGAAATTCTGCCCGATTTTCTGTAGAATTCTGATAAGCTCACGTTCCTAAATTGGGTCGTGACACTTTCCTTCCTTCACAATGAGCTCAGCTTAAAAATACTGTATTTGAGGGGGGAGGGGGGCAGTTTAGGAATTGAAATGGCATGAAAATAAGATAACAAAAACTAAACAGTATCTAAAAAACAGGAAAATGCAGCTAATGTTCTGATTCGATCAAGATGTACCCCGTTGTGTGAATCATGCTCAGAGGGCTCTCAAAGTCAGATGTCAGCATGAGATACTTAGAGTGGTGAAAGGACCAAAACGTTGCATAAGACGATGCATTTAAGTGGGTAACCAAGGGAAAACGGTCTAAAACTCATGGAAGGACACCAAGACTGTCATGAGGACACTACAAAAAGTTGAATGCCTCTGTATGTTGTGAATTAGTGCAGAAATGTGATGAGGTTATAACAGATGGAACTCACAGCGAATCTTCTACAGCTTTGAATGATGGAATTCTCACCGAAAGGGAGGCCTTAGTAAGCTAAAATGAGTTTGCATATTAGCAATGATTCAGGGGAAGCACATACAGAACAATTACTTACTATGATCGCGATACCTTCCATTAGCTTGACTAATCCAGATTTGTGTAGTGTAGGGCTCGTTAAAGGGGAAACACTCCCTAGGACCAGGAGTTTCCCTAGGTTCGACCCAATCCATCGCAGTTAACTCCTCAATCTTTAGCTTTAGTGACCAAACAACATCCAGGACAAGGGGTTGACGATTAACAATTGTTTCATATGGATCAATAGATCTTTGTTTTTTGCCTGTTTGCAAAGTAGACTACTCTGATCTACATAGGGACAACAAAGCATTGAACTGTTTACAATGTAACCAAATATTTTTGATGTTCTGATTCGATCAAGATGTGTCCCGTTATATAGCACACACGAATTAAAATTTAAACTCATATAGAAACGAAAGGGGACTCAAGAAGATAATGAGCATCAATAGCAAAAATAATTATAAGAAAGTTCATCCAAACTCATTTTAGCGAATTTGATCAGGCATATTTTACATCATTGATAAGCACAAATCATAAATCCTAAACCTTAAACCCCTAAACAAAACTATCGGGGCAAAATATGGGCAACTATCACTGTAATGTCATCACGCTTGCCACCAGGACGATATTTGTTAGCTTTGGAGCATTCTTCAGTAAAAGGTGTATAGAGAGTTTTACTTTCTGATTTCTGCAGGGCATATTCTGCAATCTTCTGTGCTAACATCTTCGAAAATGTTTCCAGTTTGCGCAAATCCACTAGCCCGTCGTGTACTAATTTCTCCAACTCATGGTTGTGAACATTATCGAACAATCCATCTGTAGCCATCACTATCACATCCCCTATTCTTACTGTAGCTTTAATTTCTTGTGCCACACTTGGATCATCTAATTTAACACCATTCCCTAACTGAAAGGGATAATTGAATCCTTTTTGCTGAATTTCCGATTTGTAAACTATGTCCCCGTTTCTTATAACAACAAACCCACTATCACCAACGTTGACCGCGTGTATAGTATCACACGCTAAAGTCAAAATACAAGCTGTTGACGAACCTTGACATTTTGTGTTAAAATAAGCTTCGTTGAGAACTTCCATTGGGTGAATTTTGTTCCTTTGATCTTTCTGCTTCTGAATCGATGATTCAGCATTTCTAACCAACTGTCTCGAATATTCTCCAGAATCGATACCCTTTTTGGCCCAGCTACCAACGCCATCTGCTACACCTATGGTTTCTTCCTCTCTGCAAATAAAATGTGCATCTTCCCCGAGAGGCGCTTTGTCAGATCGTGGTATGTAAAACGAGCCAGCCACCATCTTCGTCCTGAAATTCCCATTAAGAAAACTTGAAACGTTATTAGTACTCTCACCGCGAAAGCTTAGATCCTTGTCTATATCCATCTCATCCATAGCCACTTAAGAAACTAGTAAAGAAGTGACAGAGACAAATTTATATAAGCGGATTAAAAAAAAAATAGCAGAGTACTATCGCGCTTAGGATTTGAACTTGTTACCTAAAGCAATTATTGAATTTCCTTTTAAATTGACAGATTTCTTCATATTAGGAGAATCACTAGTTCATATATAATGAAAATAAATAAATCATTTTCCATAATCGCGCAAAACGCCAAAACATTTTATGGACACTAAATAACACCTTGAGATACTAGGTAATCTTTCAGTTTCAATTTGTTTGACCAATTTGACTTGGCAAGGAATTTAAGAAAATAAAGAAGACTTTTGAATCTTGTGGTATAAAAATAAAGATACGTCAAATTTACTAAAATGTCCATTAGTTTTGTGGTTTGAAACATGATATATGGAAAGTTGAAACTAAAAAATTGCTAAAAAATAGGGAAAGAATCACTTTTTTAAAAGGACTAAAAAGGAAGGTGGGTCAAACAAATTGACAGATAGCGTTTGGGTCGGAATTTCATTTGGAACATCCTACCCAACTGGTCCAAATAAACCGGTCCAAAACTCATATAAGCAAACCATCGGTTTATTACCCAACAAATGTGGGACTCTTAACACCCCTTCACGCCCAGACCCAACTGGAGCATGGATTGAAAGCACAAACGAGGATGGACCTAGATCACATACCATGTAATAGACAAGGTGCGGAGAGTAACTTATCTCATTACTCAAAGATACAATGATAAAGATACACGAAGAAAATAAGTTAACTGCGTCAACTAGATATTCAAATCCCTAAAATTATGTATACCATCGTATACATAATAATAATAATCGTGATACTGTAAAAAAAAAATTAGAACAGAAGGGTTCTGTGAAGTGAAAATATTCAGAAAGACTTAAAATTCATACCTATATAGATACACACATTTTGCTCATCGCAGGACGAGGGCTCTTCGTGGACTCCAAAGGCCAGCTAAGGCTTTTATATATCACATGAGAGTCATGTTAAAAGGGCAGTCCACTTCACTAAAGCTTCTGCTATGCAGCAGGGTCCAAGGAAAGTCCTGATCACAAGGGTCAATTGTACGTAGTCTTACGTTGCATTCCTGCGAGAGACTATTTTCAAGGCTTGAACCCGTGACCTACTGGTCACATGGCAACAATTTTACCGGTTATTCCAAGGCTCCCCTTCTCACATGAGAGTGTCTATATTCAAAAAGTGGTGGTTGGTTTTGTAAGTTTTGGTACCAAAATTGTACAATTTTATTCATCCATAGAGACACATATTTATAGTATAGAAAACTGACTAACAAGCTATCAGATCCCTTGATTCTGGCAGATTTGAGAATCAAGGATCCTAACCTATTCAATAGCAAATTAGATATGATTTTAAAAGATCAATTTAAATCCTATAAAATCATATTTGATCACACTTTAGATATTTACAAATCAACAATCCCCCTCAAGTTGGCATGTAAATATATGTCATGCCTAACGTACTTACAAGAATTTCAAACTTTGGTTTAAACAAGCCTTTTGTGAAAATATCTGCAATTTGCTGATTTATTGTGACGAAAGACATGCACATGTTCCCTTCTTCAATCTTCTCTTTTATGAAGTGCATGTCCACTTCAACATGCTTTGTTTTGTCATGTTGAACTGGATTGTGAGCAATACTTATGGCGGCTTTGTTGTCACAGTACAACTTCATTGGTAACACAAACAACTTTTTCAGTTCTTCCATCATCTTCTTGATCCAAATCATTTAACATATCCCATGGGCCATAGATCGGTATTCAGCTTCAGCACTGCTACAAGCTACAACATTCTGCTTTTTACTCCTCCAGGTCACGAGATTTCCCCAGATAAAAGTACAATATCTTGATGTAGACCTCCTATCAATAGTAGAACCTGCCCAATCTGCATCTGTAAAGCTTTCATTGCCTTTATCTTGACCTTTTCTGAAAAACAATCCTTTCCCTGGTGAACTTTTCAGATATCTTAGAATCCTGTAGACCGCTTCTTGGTGCTCTTCTTTTGGAGAGTTCATAAATTGACTCACTAAGCTTACATCAAAAGCTATATCAGGTCAAGTGTGTGATAAGTAGATCAACTTTCCTACTAGTCTCTGATATTGACTTTGGTCAACTACATTTCCTTCTTTCTTTCCAAATTTAATATTCGGATCAATAGGTGTTTCAGCTGGACGACAATCACCCATGACTGTCTCTTTTAGAAGATCTAGTGCATACTTCCTTTGTGACACCATAATGCCTTCTTTTGATCTTTCTACTTCCATGCCAAGAAAATATTTCAACTGACCTAAATATTTTATCTCGAATTTCGAGGCCAACTGTGCCTTTAAATTCTTCATTTCGGGCAATTCATCTCCTGTAAGTATAATATCATCAACATACACTATCAGGATAGTTGTCTTTCCCTCAAGAGAGTGTCGAATGAACATGGTGTAATCTGCATGCCCTTGAGTGTACCCTTGTTTTTTTACAAACTGAGTAAATCTCTCAAACCAAGCTCTTGGAGATTGTTTGAGCCCGTAGAGAGATTTCTTTAGCTTGCACACTCTAGTTCCATACCTTTCTTCAAAACCCGGAGAAGGATCCATGTAGACTTCTTCTTCGAGTTTTCCATTCAAGAATACATTCTTCACATCTAGTTGTTGAAAGGGTCAATCAAGATTGGCAGCAATGGTCAGAAGAACCCTGATTGAATTCAACTTGGCAACTGGAGCGAATGTCTCAAGATAGTCAATTCCATAGGTCTGAGTAAACCATTTTATTACCATACGTGCCTTATACCTCTCCAAGGACCCATCATATTTAAATTTGATGGTAAACACCCACTTGCAACCCACTGTTTTCTTTCCACGTGGTAGTTCTACTATTTCCTAGGTTTCATTTCTTTTAAGAGCATTCATCTCCTCTAAAATTGCCTCTTTCCACTTGGGAATATTCAAAGCATCCTACACACTTCGCGGTATCTCCATTCCAGATAATTGAGAAAGAAAAGCTATATAGGAAGGAGATAAGTTTCTATATGACACAAAATTTGACATGGAATGGTTTGTGACTTTTCTTACTCATTTACGTTTGGCAATTGGAAGATCAAGGTCTAAAATAACAAGGGGCAAATCCGAATTAGATTCTGGAGAACTACCTTGTATATCAGTAAGATCTTGCGGAGTGGACTTTTGGTTCTGCTGAGCGTCCTTAGTCTCTTTTTCTTGATTTTGGTTTCTTCTCATGTAAACCTGCAATTCCTTTGTTTGTTCCTGTCCTTTTCATTAATTGTATCATGAAAAGACTCTACTGTCTCAGTTTCCTTATTTTCATTATATAAGTTGGGATCTTTTACCCTATCAAGGTTGTTACTACCAAAAGTACTATTTCCCGTATCTATCATAAAAGGGAGATCCTTTTGTTTCTCACATGTGAAGTCGCGAGAATCCTTACTATCCATTGAATTTTCACTATGTTTCTCCCCCTGAAGATGAGTTCCAAAAAATAATTGAGATTCAAAAAAAGTGACATCCATTGTGACAATAACCTTCCTAGTATTTGGGTCATAACACTTGTATCCCTTTTGACTAGAGGCATAACCAACAAAAACACATTTTTTAGCACGTGGATCAAGTTTACTCCTATTATGATCATGAACACGAACAAATACACTACACCCAAAGACTCTCAAAGGTAGATCAGTGGTCAATCTAAGAGTAGGGAAGTATGTCTTGAACATACTAAAAGGGGTTTAAAAATCTAGAACACGAGAAGGCATCCTATTAATAAGATAAGTGGATGTCAAAAGAGCTTCTCCCCAAAGAAATTTAGGGACTCCACTTGTGAATATTAAGGCCCTAGTTACCTCCATAAGATGCCTATTTTTTCTCTCAGCTACTCCATTTTGTTGGGGTGTATTAGGACATGAACTTTGGTGCACTATTCCCTTGGAAGTGAAAAAATTGCCTAGATGGTCATTAAAATACTCTCCCATTATCACTCCGAAATATTTGAATCTTCTCATGAAATTGTGTCTCAACCATAACATAAAAAGCCTCAAACATATGTTTTACTTC